CAAAATATGCCTCTCTCCAGCCACTCTGTTGCTGCAGCATGGACTCCCACACCATCTACCAGTGCTCTGCACTCCTGGCCACGTACAAAGGGAGATCTCACAGGGATATCCTGTGACAATTCCTGCCACGTCCCCATTTTTTAATACCTATTCTTTATCCTTTTTGTGCTCTCTAATATATTGTCTCAGCACCAAGAAGGCCCCTGTGCTGAGTAAAGGGGTGGGGAAACTGAGGCAGGCAGAAGCAGAGGGGCTTAGAGGAAGTGAGCATAGGCCAGCATCCCCACCTTTGAGCTGGCTTCCCTCGGGCAGCGCTGTCCCTCCCTGCAGCTGTGTGCTCCTCTGTCCCTCAGGCAAGCTCAAGAAGTTTGAGAATGGCGCGTGGCACGTGGTGCCACCTGAAGACCAGGTGAAGATGACCAAACTCGATGGGCAGGTATGGCTTGCCCTCCTCAACCTCCTGCTCAGCCCTGAATGCCGGCGCAAATACCATTTTGATGGCTTCAACAAGAGCCAACTCCTCAAGGTAGGACCCTAAACCACGAAGGCTGTGGGCTCTGCAGCACAGAGTAGGACCTTGCTAGCCCTAGGCCCCTCCAGGTGTCTCTCCCCATCCTTGCTGCGGGCTCCTAACAGCCCGTGTTGGGGGAGCAGTGGGGTCTGTCACCGTGCCAGCAGCAGCAAAGCTTGTGTTTGTGAGTGCGCCCTGTGGGACTCCCACGGGTCGCTCTCCCAGTGCCCCACAGGTCCCTGCTCTTGCCATACTGCTTCTCCCTTGTCTTGACCTCTTGTCTTGCTGCTGGTTCCCTTGTCTTGACTTCTCTCTGTTCGCTCTTCTCTTCCCCTCTGTGGCTACAGCTCCGTGCATTCCTGACAGACGTCCTCATCGACCAGCTGCCCAACCTGGTGGAGTTGCAGAGATTTCTGAGCCACCTCGCAGTGACAGAGCCAGCTCCCCCCAAAAAGGATCTTGTCCTGGAGCAGGTATCCTGTGGCTTTTCCTCCACCTCTCCCACCGCTCTGCTTTCAGCCTGATAGCTCCCTGCCCCCTCTTCCTCCCACCAAGCTCAGCTCTGGAGAGGTGGTGCTGTGGTAAAGCAGCCAAGCACCCAGGTCACTGTTACACCCTTATTGCTGGCAAAGTTGACTTTTTTGGGTCATTCACAGACTTCTCCTGCTACAGCAGTGGCCAAGCAGTCACAGCTAAAGGCGTAAATGCTGGGTTATAAACAGCTCTCCAGATTGCCTTGAGTTCTCTGGGTGGTGGCTGCTGGCTCATTTTTACAATTAACTCTTTATTTAACATTTATCGGTGTTTTCCTGCTGAATTCTGGACTTCCCATGGAAGAGTCCCTTTTACGGCCCCGGCCCGGGGTTGCTTGGCACCCTGCGTAGGGAGGGATGCCACGGTCTGGTGGCAGAGGCTGGAGTCATACTGGCCCCAGCTGACATCTGGAGGCTCAGGAGTTGGGCCCTGAAGGTCTTCAGACAGCGTGGGCTCCTTGGGGCTTTTAATCTATGCAGTGGTGACCTCTGGAGCAAAGTGGTTTTGCTGCCTTCTCGAGAGCTGGGGTGGGGGGAGAAACTGTGCAAGGGGGTGGGCAGATCTGTGAAGGGGCAGCTGAGAAGAGCTGGGAGAGCAGAGGCTCTGCCCCACTGCTGGAGGCTCCCATGCTGCTTCCTGGGGGTGGAGGGGTAGGTCAGGCAGCGGCCGTTTGGGCCGTGCAGAGTGGGGGGAGCATGCCATCCCCCGTGCTGTTGGCCGTGGGGCTCAGGAGGAGGGCGGTGAGCCCTGACTGTGGCTGAGCTAGACCCATGGCCCGTGTCAGGAACTGGGGCTGGGGGAAGCTGCAGATGGTCCATCCGAGCGGCTGGGGATGGCATCAGGGAGGAGTTGGTTATGGATTCACTCCACATGCTCAACTGCCAGCGTGTTGGTGGGGCAGGGACAGGCAGCTGCCACGCTGGGGACCTTGTCCAGCCCTCGCTGCTCTTCTCCGTAGCTCTGCTTTTGTGCTGGTGCTGCTCCTGCCTCCACCGAGGGCTGGGGCTGAGCACAGCGGGTGGGCAGGGGGAGGCAGCTGGAAGCACACACGTGGGCTCCCCGCTCTGCCCAGAAAGCGGTGAACTCACTCCTTGTCGTCGAGCCAAACTTCGAAAAGGCCTTTTTCCGTTTGGCCGTTTCCAGAGGCAGCCTCCTCCCCTTCCAGGCCTGGCTATTTTTACTCCACTGAAGAAGCAGCGTTGTTTGAACCAGCATCGTCCTCTCCAGAGCCCGAACTCCACGCGCTCCCCTTGGCTGGCGCTTTCCCTTTCGCGCCGACCAGCCCTTCCCCGAGTGCTCGTCTTCAGGGAAGTGACGAGTGGAAAAATCTGCTCAGGCAAACGGCTCCAGAGCAGGGGGATCAGGGCACAGAGATCCCAGGGTTTTCTGTGCAGGAGCCTGGGCCTCGGGGCTCAACTCTCACTCCCAACCGGACCCTGAAGGTTTTGCCTTGTTTCTCCTGGATGTTCCATGTCGGAGCAGATCTGTCCCCTCTGTCTACCCAAAAGCACACCCTTGCTCCCTGCGCCTTCACCTCTGCATGTCCTGCCTCCACTCATCCTTCAGGGACATGCACACCCCCTCCTTGTGCCCAGGGCTGGCTGCCCCCTGCCCCAAAAATGCCTCTGTACCACAGCATGTTCAGCCTGGCCGCGAGCTCCCCTCCCTCTGCCTCTCCCACCAGGTTCCCGTCATCAGGGACCACATCCTCAAGAAAAATGCAGGGAAGTGGGAGGCCATCGCCAAGCACCAGGTGAAGCGTGTCTTCAGCCCCACCGAGGAGGAGCTGAAGCTCCAGGCACACAGGTAAGGCCTTGGCACATGCGCAGAGGGCACCCAGTGGAGCCAGTATCCCCGTTAGCAGGGGCTGGAGCTCAGCACTGGGGGGACAGAGGGGACCTGTGGTATTGGCTGGGGATGTCCCCTCAGTGACAGGGTGCAGCGAGGGCAGCTCACTACTTGTCAGCAGTTCCCCGTGGGCAGCCTCACACCATTTCTGCCCTCCACAGGTGGGCACAGACCTACAGCCTGGACATGATGGAGGCCCTGGCCCCCAACAAGCCCCGCTGCGGGGCGTGCGGCACGGAGGCGGCCACGCGGTGCTCTCGCTGCCGGAACGAGTGGTACTGCACACGGTAAGGGAGCCCTGCCACCCCACAGTGTCCCCTGCCACCCCCAGTGCCCCCTGCTCCCCAGAACACTACAGACCTCACCAGAGGATGCTGTGAAAGGGCCAAGGGAAGCCAGGGGTTCCACTGCTGCTCAGTGCTGCTGGCTCTCCGCTTGCCACGTACCTCTCCGAGTCTTACAGCAGGGCTGATGTGTGGGACACAGGTCGGGGAGATGCTGGTGAGTGTTGTGTCACTGCTGCCAGGTGCTGGGCGGCCCGTGCCCACACCAACAGCAATGACAGGCCATGGTGCCACTGTCTGCCCCTTCTGCACCTCGGTGGGGCAGGAGCAGGGAGGAAAGCACCCACGGCTCTGTGGGTGATGGGCTGGGATGTGGCAGCTGGGATGGTGGCAGTAAATTAAATCTTCTCTCGCCCTGAACCATCTGGCAAGGTCTGGTTATAGCTGTGTCATTAAACCCTCTTAGCCCCCGGAACTGGGGGCCGCGTCCGCTTCCCTGTTGGGCTACATCCACATCCCTCCCAGCACCTGGAGGAGTACAGTGCTGGGGTTTGTCCTCGTTCCTGCTTCATTCCTGGGGATGGAGGTGACCCTGCTGCCTCCCTGCCCAAGCTGCAGAGCCCCTGAGCCGTGGCCTTCCCCTCCCCAGGGCATGCCAGGTCCAGCACTGGCAGAAGCACAAGGTGGCCTGCAACCTGATGGCCGGGGAGCCGAGGGGAGAGGGTGAGCCCTAAGAGAAGCGGTGACTGACGTCTGCCCTGCGACGTGGGGAAGCAGAGGTTCCTCCTGCGTGCAGCCCAGCCCCCAGAGAGGAGAAGCCAGCAAAGACTCCTTCTCCTTGCTCCCAGCCCCGGGCAACACTGGCTGGGCTCAGCCTGTCCTCTCCCACCTCCCCACCACGTAGCCTTCTCCAATAAACCTGTGTATGTACCCCACTGCTGCTTGGCTCCTGCTTTTTTTCTCCTAGCTCAAGATGCTACGCTGCTTCCTCCCTTCCCTTGTGCACAGGGAGTGGGGTGTGTGGCTGTTTTTCCCTTCTCCAACAACAGAAATCCCAGAGAACCCGAAAAAAAGAGCCGCTACCCTTGTGGTTACCAACCAGAAGGGCCAAGCACCCTGTGGCCAAGGCATGTGAGCCAGGGGAGGGCAGGAGACGAGAAGGCCTCCCTGTCCCCTCTTATCTTTGGGCTGTAGTTGTCAGAGGAGGGGGAGGATGTGGTTTTAGCACCAGCACCTCGCTC